TAACCTTCAATAATATCGTTTCATTTAATTAAAATCTAATTTAATATTTAAAAATTCACCTTATTAACTATTTATTTTTACATTTGAACATTTATATATGAACATTTAATAAGGTAAATTTTTGAATTTTGAATTGGATTTTCATTTCCAAATTTAAATATCTGCATTTAATAAGTTAGATTTTTAATTTCAAATTAGATTTTAATTAAATGAAATAATATCTTTTAATATTGATATTCTAATTTTTTTAGAATAAGGTCTGATATACAGTTTTCTTTTTTATATTATATAATTTATGTGAACTATAAATTTGTATTTGTATTTCAACTCAGAGTTTGAGAAGCAAAGTAGTGAAAAAAAAATCAAGCCCAACTAAGAGGAAGAGGAAGAAGACAGCTAGTGAAAACCTGTGGGGGACGAATTCCGCTCCGACCATGCACTTGGATGAAAAAAATTCAACTGTATTGGAAGGTCTGTTATATTTTATGTTGGATTAATTTGTGAAGAAAGAATTCATTTTGTCTAAAACTTTAAGCTCAAAGCAAAGGATTCATGATTCCATCAGCTCTCTTTAACCTCTTATTATTCATGCATTTACCAGGAGGTAATGAGGAGGAAGGGATGGAAGCAAAGGTAAACCAGAAAGAAGAAGATGTAAAAAAACAACAGGAGGGGAAGAGCAATGAGTTAGATGAGCTAAATGCAACCAAATTAGCATTGGACACCATGGAAGCACAGTTTAATGCGACCAAGCAAGCATTGACAATTGCGGAGGCAAAGCTTGACAGTATGATTGAGATCGAAAGGCAGAATCGAAAACGTCTTCAAGCTTTAAATAATGGCACCAAGAATCCAACTCCCTCAAAGTAATCCATCTCAAGGTATTTACAGAAGCATCAATTTGATATCAAATAACTAGTTCGGTTATAGTTGCTAACAATTTGAGTAATTCAGTGATAATTATTTTTTAATAAAAATAAAAGATTTTGAATTTAAATTGTATGAAATGTTGATAGAGTAGATTAATAAATAAGAAAGAGTTACTTCCATAGTGCAACTCAAAATTAAAAAGATAAAGTGAGTTAAGAAATGAGAGAGCTCCTCATTATGCAATAAAAGATCAAAAACAAAAAAAAAAACCTAGTTTGATTCTAGTTATAGTCTTGCATATGTATAAGAAAATCCATATTTGTTTGTTTGTTTTATATTTGGCTAACTTATTATTTCTATACTACAATGAGAGAGAAGAAGAAAGGCCTTAGTGCCAGGGATCATACTTATAAAAATATGTTGGGATTTTGGAGCCTTAATATTAGAATTTTGTCATAATTGTAATAAATTATACTAACAATTTTTATCTATAAAAACTTATTTTATTTCTATGAATATTTTTTTGTGACAAAATATATTTTTTATGATGAATTTTTTTCATCAC